GACCTTTACCCTTCTATCTTCTATCTTCTATCTTCTACTAAATCACGCCCTTCAAATCGGCCACGTCAGACGCTCATATCATGTTCGCTTCCCTCACTCGAGCCAAAGGGCTTCGGCCATTACATAGAGTTTCAAAGTCAAGATACATCTCTCAGGAGGTTAAGGTGCAACGCAACGCCATGCTTCGCCAAGTCTATGCCCCATTCGCAGACCTCGTCGAAGGCTCTCCAGAGTATGTACGACTTTCTGAATCTGGCAAGGTTTGGGAGAACTACTTCCGCCCAGGAGACAGAACGCATCTTGGCTATGATGCTATCCAAAAGGTCGGTAGACGCCCTGGAAGCCTTTCACAGCATTGCCACATAGAGGTCAGCAACTAACGATTCTTCTGGCGCGTGATTAGGACCATGCTGATATGCTTGCCGAGATCGACAAGTTCAAGAGGCTTTTGAAGCCTCGCATCGGACAGCTCGCCAAGACCTTAGTTGCTGAGTATGCTCATCAGTCTGTGGCGATCGAAAACAACCCTCTCGCCCTCGGCGATGCATTTTCGATCTTCGACACATTGTCTGACACGCTTTTCAAAAAGGTCGATCTCGCAGCCCTGGATGCCGCCGACCTGTCTCAACTCGACCTTCCCATCATTGCTAGCGGCCTGGGACCCGATGAATCTGCCGTGGTTGAGCTCAAAAACCACATCGTTGCCTCCCAATGGATTGCAGAGAAGGCTGTACTTCATCCTCATACGCCTGGCCTCGATGAAAGGCAGATGAGAGAACTCGCAGCCATGACAATTAAAGGCACAGCATCGGAGGCAGTCTATGCGGGCTCCTGGGGCGGACGTGTTCCCCTTGGAGGGTACCGCAAAACGCCTATCGCCATCAGAGGTAACCCTCTGGTCATTTTCCCGTACCATATCGAAGTTCCCGCTTGCATCGAGCGTTTCTTTGAGTGGCGTAACGCAATGCATACCGATGAGAATGTACATCCGCTCATTCTCGCTTGTCACATGATGGTCTACCTCGTCCGCATTCACCCTTTCCCCGACGGCAATGGTCGAGTCAGTCGCATGCTCATGCATGACTACATGGTTCGTCAGGGATACTTGCCTGTCATCATGCAGAACTTTGACCGCGATGAATACATTCGCGCAATCGACCATGCTGCAAAGGGCGAGCCTGAAGAGCTGGTGATCACCATGCTCACAACACAACTGGATGAGATGCAAACATTTTACTGGCGACAGATGGAGGGGAATGCTGCGGTTGTCAGGTAATCAAGTTCGTAGATATTCAATGGATAAAAAAGAGTGGTTATGCAAAAATGAAAGCAAAAATGAACGCCCGACAACGTCAGGCTTCCCTCTCAGGTCCAACCAGGAATCGAACCTGGGCTGGCGGAATCAGAATCCGCAGTCATAACCATTAGACCATTAGACCTATGGACTAATTGATGAAATCGGTAGGCGAATTCTCGATCCAGGTTCGCTTCGACACAAGCCCCAAGCCGAAGCCCTGAATAGGTGGGTTGTCGTCGGAGGAAATGAGGAGGCACCCACTTATTCAGGTGGAGGCGCGGTTTGTCGTCCCACCAAGATGTCAAAAGTATCATCCATGGCTGGTAGTTGGTTAAGGGGGGCGAGACAAGTCGGTCCAGAAGCACGAGGAGGCGACAGACGGAATGCTGACCGTGGCCTAGCTCTTAAAATGGATCACGCCGACGGTCTTGGTACAATCAAGGCGGTGAACTGGTTGTGGTCGTGGAGAAACGTCAACAAAAGAGAACAACATACATTCCCCAGGGTACAGGCTCAGGCGATACAGCGCACAATCGAAGGCTGTGGGGCGTGCCGATGGCATGTCTCGAGGCAGCGGCCAGCTAGCTATTGATGCGAAGAAGACGACGTCACGGGCGTCTGTTGCTTGGCAAGGCCGTCCGATTTTGATTTGACATGTTTGTTATGCTGTCGAGATAAATCTCTTTCTTACTGGAACGATGCTGGCAGGGCCGCCCATGACGACCCGGTCGTGTCAGTTCATGCATGCATCATCTGCATGGCACAAACGCATGGGCCTGGTGAGAGGCCGCATACGATGTCTTTGGTGGAGAAGAGCAGCATGAACTGGCGGAGAGATGGGCGAGCTTGCTATAGGTACCTAGGTAGGTAGGTAAGTAAGGTATGTAGGTACCATGGTGAGAGGCAATGTGCCTCCAGCCGGGTCCGTAATGCCTTGGAAGGTGTACTCGCACCTTGTGTACTCACACCTTGCCAATTGGGCAGCGGACGAAATGGTGCGCCTTAGGTTCTCAGGTACGTACCCTTCGGGTCGTTCAGGAACCGCGGGTGGGCCCTGGAGCTACCGTCGACTGGCCCGTGCATTACCTCGACAACTGAGCAGCAGCAAACAAGCAGGACCCCCAAATTATCTGGACGCGTGAACAAATCAGATTGGGAAGCCCGGGCCAGGTCTGCCACTTTCATCCTTCTCCCCCAGGCTCTCGTCTCGATTTGGTCCCAGCAGACCAGCTATCCTCAGGTTCGGCTCCGGGCGACGTCTCGACTTTTTGGGCCCTCGAACGGCTCCGCATTCCTCTCGCCTGTGATCGTTGTCTTCTCTTTCTCAACTCCAACAAGAGACGCCACACGCACTCTTTTCTCCGCCATCGTCAACCTCAACTTGGCCACCCGCCCCCCTCCTCCACTCGTCCCCCGACCGAGTCCACCGAGTCAACAAACACCTTACTTCAGCCGTTAAGACATAACTCCTCTTGCCAATTTGAGGTGTTTATGCAATGTCAGGCAACACGCTGAGAGGCACGCCCAATCGCGGCCAGAGCCGCCCAGGCATTCCCTTTGCCACCAGCCCGGGTCCCGGTTCCTCGTCCAGCATCCCCCGCCCCGTGCTGGAAACCCACCCATCTACCACTGCCAGTGACTCTGGTGCTGCCCCTGCTGGTGGTGCTGGTGGTGCCGCCTCTGCTGTCAGCGCGAGTCGACAGAAGCAGATCAAGAGAGATGATGTAGGTTTTGGCTTTCCCCCTCCTCTTTACTCCCCCATATACGCCAAAGCGAACGAGACCAAGTCGAGGTCCCAGTGAAAAATAAGACCGCTTCACACCCTCAAGCCAACTCGGCCTGCGATGGGCTTCACTTACCACGAGCTCGAAAGAGCCAGCCGCCTTGACATGACGGATACTGACTTTTACATCAAGGCCATCCGTCGCAAGATGGAGAGCGACCTCTCCAAGAAGAAGCACCTCAGTGGCCGCGCCCGCCACACCCGAAAGGCGCCTCCCGGCACCGTCCTCGCCCTCAAGCCGAGTCCCGCCCTGCAGATTAAGCCTGGTACGACCGTCGCCGAGGCGGCCCAGCTCATGGCGGCCAAGCGCGAGGACTGTGTTCTCGTCACCGACGACGACGACAGAATCTCGGGTATCTTCACTGCCAAGGATCTGGCCTTCCGCGTCGTAGGCGCCGGCATGAAGCCAACCCACATTACGATTGCCGAGATCATGACCAAGAACCCCCTCTGCGCCCGCACCGACACGAGCGCCACCGATGCTCTCGATCTCATGGTGCGCAAGGGTTTCCGCCACTTGCCCGTCATGGACGAGAACCAGGATATTTCCGGTATCCTCGACATTACAAAGTGCTTCTACGACGCCATGGAGAAGCTCGAGCGCGCCTATTCCTCTTCGAGACGCCTCTACGATGCCCTTGAGGGTGTCCAGTCCGAGCTCGGCTCCAGTCAGCCCCAGCAGATCATTCAGTACGTCGAGGCGCTGCGCTCCAAGATGTCTGGCCCGACCCTCGAGTCTGTCCTCAACGGCACCCCGCCCACGACTGTCAGCGTCAGGACTTCGGTTCGCGAGGCTGCCCAGCTGATGAAAGAGAACCGCACAACCGCTGTGCTGGTGCAGGACCAGGGGGCCATCACCGGCATTTTCACGAGCAAGGATGTCGTGCTGCGTGTCATTGCCGTCGGCCTCGACCCCGCCACATGCAGCGTCGTTCGCGTCATGACGCCTCACCCCGATTTCGCGTCCATGGACATGAGCATCCAGGCCGCCCTGCGCAAGATGCATGGTATGTGGAATCCATGGTGCATACTAGCTAGCTAGGAACCATGTACTGACAGACGCTAGACGGACACTACCTCAATCTCCCCGTCATGAACGACGGCGGCGAGATCGTGGGCATGGTCGACGTGCTCAAGCTCACCTACGCAACACTCGAGCAGATCAACACCATGGCGACCGGCGACAACGAGGGTCCTGCCTGGAACAAGTTCTGGCTGTCGCTTGATAACGAGTCCGAGTCGATGGTCTCGGGCGAGGGCAGCCACCACCACACGAACCTCGGCTCCCGCATCATGTCACCCGATCACACGCGCGAGCGCATCGGCGACAGCGTCGCACCTGGCGACTCGGCCTCGCACGTGGGCGTCGAGTCCCCCCCGCACTCGGAGTTTATCCCCGCCGACAGCATCGCGCCGCAGTCGCCCGCTGAGCTGCCCTTCCCCTTCAAGTTCAAGGCGCCCTCGGGCCGCGTCCACAGGCTGCAGGTCATCGCCTCGCAGGGCGTGGCCGCCATGGTCGCCAACGTTGTTGCCAAGCTTGGTGCCGAAGCTGAAGCCATCGGTGGCGCCCCGACGACCGATGACGATGGCAAGATCAGCGGCGGTTTCGCGCTCAGCTACCTCGATGACGAGGGTGACTCGGTGTCGATTACTACCGACAACGATCTCCTCGAATCCATCCTCCTGGCACGCCAGGGCCACCGCGAAAAGGTCGACCTCTTCGTTCACGACCCAGAGAAGCCTCCTGTCGCCGTGGCACCGACGCCTGTGGAGCCCGTCATTCCCACGCCCGCCACGTCCACGGCCTCTGGACTTCGTGAGCGAAGGAAAGCCCACGATGACGAGGACGACGACGAGGAGGAGGAGGAAGACGAGTCTCCCAGCCGCCGCTCCCGTCGTTCCCGCCACGCTGCGCCCCAGCAGGAGCAGCTCATTCAGGGCGTGCCCAACGATCTGCTGCTTCCTGGTGCTATCGTGACGCTTGCCGTCGTCATTGTTGGTGTCTTCACCATCTCCAGGATCACCAGCAGATAGAGAGTGTATACATGGGAGAGAGAGAGATTGGGCCCCGTTGCGTCATGATGTGATGAGGCGTACATACTGTATTCAGAAACGCTTGTCTTCGTAGACTGTTGAGTACCCCATATTGTTGTTAATACCACACTGCACCTTGTCTTTTTTGCGTCGACATTGTCAGGCCGGTTAGGTCTTTTTCAAATGAAGCCTCTGGCATTCGTATGATGTGCCCAAACTTTCACGGATGCGAGCCCATGCCTCGCCGAGGCCAAGCCAATTCTTCAGTTCATTGACAATCCGAATGCCATCAACGCCCTTGGAGCTATTGAAGCGACCATCATGAACGTATGCTCAGGGGTCTGCGTTGATGCATTACCTAAGCATGGCCCATGCACCACGACATGCGGCTTTGGTGGACCGCGACCTCTGCAGCTCCAAAAAATGTTCCCGTGTATGGCACTGACAACGTGAACCACTGGACAATTGTCAACCCAGCAGCCCGCCATCATGTTCAGTCGAGCGATAGCCCGTCGGCAAGGTATTCACGACCTCCTGGTACCTCAACCATCCTCCCACTGACCCAATGCAGCCCGACAGGCCCTGGCCGCCCCCCTCCTCCTCCGACCATGCACCGCCCGCTTCATCTCCCAAGACACTCCCTCTGGCCTGACTGCCGAAGTCCTCGAGTCCCTGACGACAGCAGCCGCCCTCGACCAGGTCCCCAGCACCGCTGACGCCGCCAACACCCAGAACCAGCGCCGCGTGCCCTCGGCGACGAGCAGCGCCGTGCCCGAGTCGTGGAAGGAGTACCGCCGCGCCCAGAACCTCACCAAGACGATCGGCTCCGAAGTCAAGTCGGCCTACATCCCGTCCGAGCTGGTGACGAACCCGCCGCACCCGCGCGACATTACGCTCGAGCTCCTCATGGCCTCGCAGACGCACATGGGCCACCACCGCTCGCGCTGGAACCCGGCCAACTCGCGCTACATCTACGGCGTGCGCGACAACGTCCACGTTATCAGCCTTGAGACGACGGCCTCGCACCTGCGCCGCGCCGCCCGCGTCGTCGAGGAGGTCGCCTTCCACGGCGGCCTCGTGCTCTTCGTCGGCACCCGTCCGGGCCAGATGGACATTGTCACAAAGGCGGCCGGCCGCGCCGGCGGCTGCCACCTCTACACCAAGTGGACGCCCGGCGCCATTACGAACCGCGACTTTATCCTGCGCGACCGCGAGGTCGTCTTCCTCGACGAGCACGACAAGCCCGTGCCTGGCTTTGATGGACACGTCATGGATCGGAGGCCCATGGTGCCTGATCTCGTCGTGTGCCTCAACCCGATGGAGAACAAGACGCTGCTGAACGAGGGTGGCCTGGGGACGATCCCGACGATTGGCATCATCGACACGGATGCGGATCCTACGTGGGTCACGTACGCTATCCCGGCCAACGACGACAGGTGTGTTTTCTGCGTCTCCCCTTGCTACATGACTTTCTCCAAGGGGGAACATCATTTGCTGACCATCTACGTGCAGTCTTCGATCGACCAGCCTCATTGGTGGCATTCTCGGACGCGCTGGGCAGGAGGGCCAGAAGCGGCGCAAGGAAGCGGCGGCCGCGGGCCAGGTGTCGTGGGACAACCCCGTCGAGGTGCAGCGGTACATGACCAAGACGCGCGAGGCGTACAAGGCCGCCAAGGCTGTCTGGCAAGAAGACATGAAGGCGATGCAGGAGAGCAAGAATGGAAACGCCGACAGGCTGCTGGCCCTGAAGCGGACACCAACAAGCGAGTCGTCGCGGGCCAGCGTCATGGACCTGTAGATGTGGGCTACGTGAGGGGGGGGGCGGACCTCAGGGTTCTGGCGGACGACGTATAGAACATGTACACCTTGTAAGAATAAATGTATACCTTTCTGAGGCCAACATAATCATGACAAAGACTTGTCGAGTACAGATCCTGATTCTGTTTTGGTTCGCTTTCCTTGATGGACCGGTAGTTGCATACCTATGCTAAATGCAGATGCTAATATGCAATGTCAAAATAGTCGCCAATCCACCTGAAAGAGCCTCATGTTGAAAAGTGCGCGCCTGCGCATTTCCCCTCACCGACAGGCCGTGCCGAGCATCATCACGAACGAACATTTCAGAACAGCCAGCCCAAGCCCGCCTGCCGACGTGCCAAGTCAGGCCTTCGTGCATAAATCCCAGCTTCTTGCATCATCGACAAGTTTGGGCCCCAGCCGGAAAAAATAGCCTGAGGGTGACCAGGAAAAAAGGGGGGGGCGGGTGTCCTACCAGTGAGAGCAACCCACATACTTGGTAGGGCTTCCTGTAGCCTTTCTTTGTAGCCCCTTTATTCATGGAATCTCTGTTTGCCGTGGTCCCTGAGATGCCCCTATTCCCGCCTGTTTGCTAGCAGATGAGATGGGGGCGATCAGACAAGACGGGACAGCAAGCAAGTCTGAGGACGGGTTACATTTTGTCTCATGCTGTGCATGGCCAGTTCACCCGTGAGATATATGCTGACTCTACTATTCATTGACAGCATAAGTCTTTAGGTGACGCTACCTCAGAACCCCTATTTCAGCATTCTCATCCCCCGCCCAGGCCCTGAAAAGAGCCGCCAAACATCGCCAACATGCCGGCCATGTTGGACGATCCAGATAGCCCGACCATTTACAGGGTCTCAGGGGCAACACCATTCCCGGAGCCTGGCTCGTCTGATCTCCCCTCCGAGATTGTGCCCCGTCAAGTGACGCTCCGTGACGGTCGCACCGCCGCGACGATGATGCCCTTCGCTTCTCGAGACCAGGTTCCCAAGTCTCTCCTCGGCTATCTCGCTGATCAGCTGAACAAGGAAATTGAGGGCGGCGATACTTATCCCATGACGGAACCGATGACGCACGAAAAGTTTGCGTCCTACTGGTTTCAAAACTTCGGCGCCCTCATGCTCCTTGGAAACATCGAGCAGCCGTCTGACCTGGCTGATCTGCCCGAGGCTTCTACGGGCGACTGGTCCAAGACGTGCCTCGGCAGCTTCTACATCAAGCCCAACTATCCAGGCCGCAGCTCGCACGTGTGCAACGCCGGCTTCCTCGTCACGGACGCGAGTCGTGGGCGTGGCGTAGGCCGGCTCATGGGCGAGTGTTACCTCGACTGGGCCCCGAAACTGGGCTACACCTACAGCGTCTTTAATCTGGTCTACGAGACCAACGTTGCTTCGTGCAAGATTTGGGATGCTCTCGGCTTCAAGCGCATCGGCCGCGTCAAAGGCTGTGGCGACCTGCGCTCCTATCCGGGCCAGCTGGTTGACGCCATCATCTATGGGCGCGACCTCGTCCCTGGCGAGTTTCCCGAGGATCTCGCCGGGGTTGAACGGTTCGACAAGATTAAATTCTATCTCAAGTACAACAAGTATCCTGTCGGCGCCGATCGCCACGAGAAGAGCCGCCTGCGCAGCGCTGCGACGCACTATCGCCTTGTCGCCGGCGACAGGCTGATGCTCAAGGACAAAGAGGTCATCCCTGACCCCCGCCGCCAGTACGAGATTGCCCGTGACGTTCACGTTGCGGCGCACGGCGGCATCAACAAGACGACGGCCACCATCGCCGAACGCTACCATTGGTCTCGCATCAAGGAGACCGTCAGCGACGTGATCCGCAACTGCGTCAAGTGCAAGGAGCTCGGCAAGGCGCCCGTCGCAGCCAACGGCGGTAGCGGTAGCAGCGGCACCGCCCGCAACCGAGCTGCGCCCGCTGACGCTGTCTCTCCCGTCTCCCCCGCGGCGCCCTCTGCCCCTCCGTCTTCGCTGTCTACGGCGCCCCCTTCTGCCCCTGATGAGCTCGCCGCAATCGCCGACTCAGCCGTGGCAGCCTATCGGTATCCCTCCCCCGACGGCGGCGTTCACCCTTCCCAAACCCTCCGTGATCCCTCCGTTTCGCCTCTGCCGCCGACGCACGGGCACAACCCGATGCTGCAAGATAGCCCACGGCATCATGACGCGCACGCGTACCAGCCTATCGACCCGCGCATCATAGCGTCACCGCACCACCATGGCCACCATCATCATCACCATCACCATGAGCACGAACACGACCACGACCACGAGACGGATCCATACGCGTATCAGACGGAGACCGACTTCCAGGCCCTGCTGAACGCAACGGCCGGGGAGGATGAGAGACACGCCGAGGTGGATGATGCCGCCGCCCGACGAGAGGCCGAGGCCGTCGATCGAGACCTGGATATGTTGATCGAGCAAGGAGACGAGGACGAGACCATGTCCGGGGTGGGCAGGGGCGAGGACGACGACGGCCAGGGGCCGGTGACGCTGGATGTCACTGCCGAGGAGGCAAAAGTCAAAGCGATCTATGCATTGAGCTATGCTGATGGTTGATCACCGATGAATGTAAGGAGTCATGGGATTAGCGTTGTGGTCTTTTGTAACTGTTCTCTTCCTCATCCAAGTAGGAAGTTTGGAGATATTCAGGAAGCTACAGTCTGAATGATGAGTGCTTCTAGCTGCCATCCTCCGGAACAATATCCTGGAGCCGCTGCTGCTTCGGAAGTAGCGCAGTCAGAGCAGATCTCCGTTCAGGCTTGACACCAATGGTGAAATAATTCCTTGGTTGGCCACGATGCCTGAGTTGGCAAAATGAAAAACATACAACACCAGGTATTCGCCGGTGGTCACCCACCCGACTACTGATCCGGCCCTTACTGATTTATCGATGGGAGAGCGGACGGGATCCCGAGCTTTCCAGTAGGTATGGTCGTATGTGACGAAACTTGGTTTCGAGAAGACTGATAGTGGTATTATGAATGGTGTGTGAGCGAGAGGCGTGATTCACGTGCCCCTGCAATCGGGCACTGTGCGGATCGAGTGCTTCTCGATTCATATCATGTGCGAACGATACAGGTGCCATGAGTGATCTAAATTATGCCATTGTGGAATGTAGTTGAAGGTGCTCCTTGAAAAGACTACCTTGGTGGGGAAAGGGGTCCAGCTTCATATTGATCGTGGAGGGGCAGCGGTGCAGAGTGCGCCATGATCAACAGGATTGCAAGTTGAGTGTACCCCGCCTTGAATGAATGTGGAGACCAGCGACCCTGCCATCGAGATCCACAGCCTCGAGTCGTACCAATGGCTGCCGTTCTGTCGCCTTTGAAAGCCTCACGCTTCAAGATTATTTTCTTCGTGCCCCTGGTTGCCTCGGGGAGATACAAGGCTGCAGTCTTTGTCGCTGGTGGGGGTTGTTACCCAGGTCCAGGAGATTACCCCGAACGCTGTTGAACGGCCATCGGCGCTGGCCAATTTCGCCCGTGGGAGCTGTGGGCCAGTTGGAAGCCAGTCGGAGTATTCGGAGTCGAAACTTTCTGTGGCGGAGAAAGCACGGTAAAAACGGCAGTGGTTGTTTTGAAAGCGTGAGTTGGCGGATGATGGATTACAACCAGGCATACGTAACGCGCTGACAGCTGTCTAGCGGTCATCCATGCGAAGAGCCCGCATATGAAGCGTACAGGTTGGAAGACATGGGAAAGATGTGAAAATGAGTTCCAAACTTCCTTATCTCTGGCCAACATGAAAGATGATGTTCTTTGCGAGTCTTACATCAGTCAATTCAAGAAGTCCAGGATCAGGAGTTTCCTACGCTTTGCACGGTGTGCCACGGGACAGAATGACCGACGCCTCAATCATCCCATCTCAACCAAGTCATTATAATCACGATCTTGGGTCATTCGCTAGTCCAGGCTTCCAGCGCTTTTACTTCTTGAACAACAAGTCTTGTCTTTGTGTTGTATGTGAAGTCAATATGGTGGAACTTTGACTTGATACGGTCGCACCAATAGCATCATTTCCAATAAGTCAAGCGGCACGCTCGCATTCGCGAACCTAAAAGGTTGTCTTGTCCCGACGCCCTGGTCATGTGGTGTGGCTGCTTGATGTTCGCGGCAGTACGTGCGGGGATGATCCGTACGGAAGAGAGTCTGGCATCTCCACGGGCATAGATGCCATCTTCTCATACAACAGTATGGGCTGTTGGGGATAGAGCACAAGTTTGACTTGCCTTGCGGATACTGGAACTGACTTGAGGGGGGTGATTTCGGGTGGCTCCTCCTTCGACTGGGAAGATGAACACTTCCGGGCTTGCAATTTGGTGTACATGTAGCAAGATCCATAGATATCGAGTCACAACCACGACCTTTTTATTAGCAGTCGACCACTGGTCAGTTCGAGAACCAGGTATGGACCATGAACGTCGTGCTTGTGACGCGTGATCTATTGAAAACGATGTGCCGATTGGCTTGAACGTCCTTCCCACCAATGCCTTTCTGAGTAAGGTTCCTCACCAGCCGGCGCCCGCGATGCCTCCTGGTCCTTGCCCTCGACTGACGGACTTGCCGGGCCGCATTTCACCAAATTTTCACAATGATACGATCTTCCCAGACTAGTACGCTTTGCCGATCGCACAGCATAGAGACCAACGGCCACCGTGTGGTGAGATACACTTACTGACGAGTCTTTGGACCAGTAGTATAGATCATGGCGCGACAATAGCTCTCTCTTGGAAACTTAGATGCTGCCGCGTGGGCTCATGGCTTGTTGACCCGATGGTAAGAAGGAAGCTCCTCTACTTACGCGGCTCGAGGCCTATCATATGCCTATCCGACTTGATGACGGCTCCGCGGCATGGCAGGACGATTTCGTGACCGTTTGCAGACTCAATATGTGTGATGGCTCGGCTCATTGACGTACACTGATCAATAGTAGGTCTCCAAAATTGAAAGAAAGTAGTCTGTGGGCGTTGAAATGGCTTTGTCACTCAGGGTTCGATACATACATGTTTGCCAGTAGGGCAAGGCTGCTGTGGCGGTTGACCAGGTGAGTTGCGGGGGGAGAGTATGACATGGGCAGATATCGTACAAAATGTAGACGAACAGGGGCAGCAGACAGCTTTCTAGTTTGCAATCTACTTGTTTCCTTCTTTTTGTACAATCCGCCTTCCATCTTACAGTATTCTCCCCAGTGCTACTCGGTGTGTCTGTGTCGTGTTAAAGAGAGAACCTGCTACTCATTTACATCAAAATGCACATGGCTCCGTGTGTAGTAATCCTACCGTGAGAAGACTAACTATAGAGCTGATTTAACCTCATATGGTCTCAGCCAGCACGCCCAGTTCCTCGACTGAGCTAGGGATAAGCGTACTGGTCTAAACCTTGTGCGGCTAGTGATCTCTTCAGGGAATCGTGCGTCTTGACTCGAGATCATATTTTCGTAAACGATTTGCTAATGTACGTATCAAAAAGAGCGCGGAACTAATATTTGATTAGATCCCGCTCCGTCCAAGGTTTCAGTAATATCTGGTGCACTTTGAACGCGCATCAACACCAACTGGTTCGATAGAGTGCATGGGGCGAACCTCTTTTCAATCTTTAGTTTTGTGTGCGTCTGTTTCTTGGGATAGTGTATGGGACTGATGGGAGTAAACGTCACGAGGCTCTGCTCCACAAATAAGAATCTACCATGGAAGTCATGAAAATTTACGTCTTCTTCGTATTGGAATCACAGCCCCTGTATGGTCCTGAAAACCGTACTTCAACATATCGAAATGCGTGCCAGTAGCCAAATGACGACACCGTTAATCGGGCGAGTTGATGTACTTGGTCGCCCCACAGCTTTCCTCGGTCTCGCTTTCTGCTTGTTTGTGTGCAAGGCATGGAAGACCGGCACGCTTGGTAGGATGAAGTCGAACGAGATATAGCTTGGTTCCACAACAAGGAATACAAAACCGCCAACCCGGTCCTGAATGATACGACATGATACCATATGTCCCTTACTATGAACTTTATGGTATACAGTTGAAGTGACGTGTGTGAGTTATTGCCTAGGAAGATTCTTTAGTTTGCGTGGCTCAGCATCGACGGCTGCGAGCTTCAAGACGATAGGTCCGTTGAAGATCCTCGGAATACTTCTATATAAACCATAACAGACCTCTTCTCGTGACTTCATAGTCCCACTCATCTAATACACCACCTCTCTAAATCCTAAGACATCTTCTCTCTTACAGTATAACAACCGGCAAACCAAGCCACTTTGTACCTCCTCGTTCACTAAGATGAAGTTCTCCGTCACCAACGCCCTTGCGGGTTTTTCATTTATCTCGATGGTGATGGCTTCGCCCTTCCCGTCAGCTCAGGATTCGCATATTGGCAATGGTTTCGAAGCCCCGGTGGCGGTTGCGTCGTCTGACCATACTCTTCGCAAGGTTGATACCTTGCCTCGTGAGCTCGACACTGCCGAGCCTTCGGACATTCTGGCCACAAGGGGCGACCGTCTCGTTTCCAAATTCAAAGTTCACGTCGTCACCTCCTCCGCCAAAGTTATTGGGATCATTATCATCGACTACATCATTAATAAGCTAGTCCTACCTGGCGCGGACGAGAGCATCACCGCCGACTTTGACAAGCTCACCAACGTTAAGGTCAAAGGACCCCTCGTTGCTACGCACTTCGATAACCCTCCCACACTTCTAGGCCACCCTCAGCAAGCCGTTTTCGACTTCAGCACTTCCGTAGTGTCTGGCGTTTTTGATCTCGGTCTTGACGCGGCTGGAATGGTTCAATCTGTTGTGAGGTCCACTGGTGTTCATCTGGGCCCACATGTTGTTGCGAAGACTCTTCACTTTTTCAATGAGAAAAACTTGAAAATTGGCACAATTCGCCTTTGAGAGTATAAATATCTCAATTTTATGCTCTGGGACAGGTTTTCGCCACATCGGTTATTCCTGGTTCTTTAATGCGAATGCAGGGGCACATTTGTTATTCACCAAGTGGATCATCAGTCATGTCATCCCCCCTCGAACTTAAGACTTGAAAGCCTATATTTTGTTCAGATAAAACATCGTACTGGCAAGAGCAAACTGCCTTCACTGCCTTCCAATCAACTTAAGAGTCTTATAACGATGTTCGTTCTTCATTCTGTCTTGAAGTTTTCGGTGTCAATGTGTATTTTGTGCGAGCTAGATACTTGGTTACATATATGCGAACATCCGGCATCAATCGATGTTTTCTCCGTATCAAGTCATTAAATCTCCTTCTAGGGCGATTCCATCAATCTTTTCCATTCAGGCCCTTGAAACGACTCTACTACAATTTATGTGGAAGGCGGGTTCACTGTCCAGCGCCCTGCACTCGACTTTCGCAGTGCGTTATGAGTATCATTCTACTTGACACAGTAAGGAACACTTGATCAGCTGATATGGAATCGCAAGGACTCACATCGGTATCTAAGGTTATGGAAATAAGACCCTGACCACTTATTCTTCGTTGTGTGGCCGCAATTTTATGCATTCATGAACGCCTGGCATATCGTATGCAGGATGAGACCATTTTTATCGCGAGCAAGTCTAGGGGCGCCGTCTTTCTCTTGACACCGGCTAACATGATGGAACAACAGTTGAGGCTACTCCTATGTTATACGCACTGGCCAGTGTGCTCACCAAACTTACCTTCAACCGGCTTATAACGACTTGTCAAACTTTCCGAAAGCGTCCAGGAGTTCGTCGCACGCAGGCAGCTACCTGTCCATCCAAAATACGGGAGCGGGAAATATTATCCGGACCGTCCTCTCATGTGATAACTTGAGCCCTCAAAGTCATCAATCTATCAGGTCTTAACGTGAGCATCATAACTAGCAATGTATATTCCTCACTCGTGGCCGATACACTGTAACGAGTCTGATCTGTGACACCTATAAAGCCGAGGGTGCCGATCACAAGAGATATCTTTATGACGGTGTCGGAATGAGTTTGGGATGCTGGTGAGACTAGTACGACTATTTGGTTGGAATGGGAGCACAGGCCTAAACCAATGCTCGCTCTCTCGAGATCTACCGCCACCCCGATCTTCAAAGCAATCTGCAGGCCAACCAAGGCTTGACCGTTACTTATTGACGGACAGTACAGTTGTGGAGCTGTTTCCATAGCGCCGCTCTTCCTGTTTCTGCTACTCCTCACCCTCCTAGGATTTCTCTCTCAGTAACCCTCCACCTAATCACAAAAGCAGTCAAAGCCCGCATTAGGTGCTGATTTACTAAGATAAATATACTCGTCAGCTACGATTCCTAAAACCTTCCCTTCAAAAAGAGACAGCTAGGAACTTACTAGAAACATTCGCGGAGGTTCGTTTTGCACTATGAGATGTTAATATCATTAAGACTTACGTTCATTCAAGATCGAATAATTTTATAGAGAACACCACTTTACTCACTGTTTTGTGACAAGTCTCGACACAAGCGTCCACGCCGGGCTGGTATAGGCGCAATTGATCTACCAGTCTGATGGAACTGATTAGCACTCTAAGCTACAAGGAGTAATCTCCTTCAGCGCATACTACTTACTGGCAAGTTGGGGTCATGGCAGGCCACACCATTTAAACAGGTGCCAATAGAGGCGAATGTACTAATAAGAAAGAATATCTTCATAGTCGTGTTTGTTGGAGGTTGTTGACAGATGCAAGGAGAGCGGGATAGAGAACGTATCAAATATATAAAAGAGGTCGAGCCGCAGTGCGGTGTCCTATGTAATAACAGAAGGTACTTGCCGTAATTACCATAACAATTTCAACCCTGTGACCCAGTATTACGACTGTAACCTCTTTTGACAGGGAGTCTTACAACACCCTAACAGAACCGTCAGCAAGACGCTAGGCCAGACGCCTTGAACGCTATCGTTTGCATCGCACGCATACATACGATCACTCACGTAACCATAAATACGACTAGAGGAGCAAGCCATCTAAAATGGCCTCATGAACTTACTAACAGGGATAGAATTGATAGGTTTAAAGGGATGGACATTCTCATATTTATAGAATAGTCTTTCTCACGAAAGTGATTAATCTAAGCCTTCCCTGGTATTCATAGTAACCAGTACAAAATGCTTCACGAAACTCTTCACTTGGACGGCAACCTAAGCTTCTACTATATGCATATACGAGGGCCGCGGAAGGTTTCGAGAATTGGAAGGTTTTGATGACCGGAGGGTTTGGGAAATCATGGATCAGCCGTAGTACCGTGTCTTGGGCGGACTGGCATCGCCGACTAACTCCGATGCCTTAACAAGGCGGAAATCCAGATGGTCTCCACCGTGCCGCGGAAGAGCTACAACAGCAGCAGCAAAGAACTAGAGCTTGGGACCATCCTTAAATATATTGGGGTCGTCCATCATTTCTCTTTCGATGTTTATTCGTGCCAGCGCCGCCGCAAGAGAGTGTCTGTTCTTTCCGGGTCTTTCCGGGTCACAAATCTTGACGACGAAGCTGGTTCCCCGGGGTCCCCTGGTTCATCTGTCATGTAACACGACCGTACCATGGCACCATAGAACGTGCTCTGCAGGTTGCTTCCATTCATACGGTACATCGGAGAACAATTCGATGGAGATTGAGTCTCAGGGCTTCCACGTGCCGGGGTGAATCTTAAATGGTGGCTGAAGTGCCTAGCAAAAGGTGTGCAGGGGGTGCTGGTATTCGAGGCCCTGACTACCGGGCCATCGGTACTTTTGTGGTTCACTCTCACAGGTGTTAGAATTTGTTGCGCTTGTGAACTAGGCACCACCGGTTGTCAGCGAGTCGAGCTGCAAACACGACTTGCGAGGCTTGATGCAATTGACATTCAGCCCAAGGCGCGGCTCGCATCGCAATTTGCGGGCATGGCAATAGTAACACGACAGGGGCGCTCGTTTTCTCGGCGCGTTCGAGATGGTCTGTTGACCGAGGGTGGAACTGATCTGGAGTCTACTGTCGCAGTGAGTTAAAAAGTTTGTTCAAGAGTTGGATTGTCTACAGAGTCGGCATGCACGTCCGTAGGAAGATACCTAGGCTACCTTGCCACGGTGCTTTGCATAGCTGGGCACATGGATGGCACTGGGCGAGGGTTAAATCGGGAGACATGAAACAGCGTCTCTGCTATGGACAACACATGCTCCGCCATCAGCACGTGTCTTTCTGAGTTGGACAGGTATCTTGGAGAGAAAATTACGTTCAAATAATGACGCGCCTGGGAAGTAGAGAAACTTGGGGTGGACACAACTGCCGAGGCAAACAGTGAGTTTTTCTCGCGTCCAAGGTTCACAGCCTGGGTCCTCCATCTGAGACTGAGGGATTCCTCCACAGAACCTACCAAGGCGCCGTAAGTCTCAAGCGGAGCCAACTCGTCCTAGTCCCGTGCCAGGCGTTGACGTAGGAGTGCCTTGGTTCCGATCATGCTTGTGCCAAGGAGCCCGACGTGAAATGTCTCCCGGAGGGCCTTGTCATGGAAAAACTTATTCACAAATCCGACCTGTACAGGCTCAATTACTGGTATCCTTCTGCCTGAGACGAGTGCTTCGTTGGCCTTTCCCTGGCCCATTCTGTGAACGAACGCTAAAGTGGCACCACCCTCGGCGATGAGTCCTAGGGTGTCAAGAGGTACGAGTCTGAGATGACCCAGACAAAGGCGGAATGCGGGATCAGGGCAGCAGAGAGGCCTATGACTGGGCCGTTCAGAGCCGTCACTAGGATTTTCGAGTGATTGGAGAACGCTCTAGCAAAAGCTAGGTTGCTTGTGACAAACTTAGGAAGCCATTACGGCCGGGAAAGCATTCCATCCGTCGATAGAAGGCTGCCTTTGAGATCGGCGACACTGCATGACGAATGTTAGCCCCAGTCAGGCTTGGAACCCCTGAGGAATCCGGAACCCACGCCGAAAAGAAAAAGCCCTGCCCAATGAGTAGGGTCTCAAGGACATCACCGTTCGCATCCACTTCACGCAACAATGTAGCGTGATACGAGTACGCTGCTTGCGTCAACGAGTTGAATTCGCCCGGGTAATGGAGCGTGACAATGGCGAAGATGCTATCATGTTCGAGACAGATGGGCGCGAGTCGGACATGGTGTTTGAGACGCGGTTCTTGGGTACAATGGGTCTGGTAGAAAACAAAGTAGGCGACTTGGACCCACGACTTTACCGACGGGATGACAGGGATTCCTTTTGAGAAAACCCGAGAGGCTAAGACGCTGCGAATATCGCCTTATGATTAATATCTGGCTGCCCTCGAGAGATGCCAAGGAGGTCACAAGACGCATCTCACTCTAGGCATAGTTGGTCAGTTTGTCGCGGCTGTAATTCTGATTGCCTTTACTACCACGGGGGCTGGCTCGCCTTGGCACTCTTGAGCCCCTGAGAAGCGAGCCTCCCCGCGCGCCAAGACTTTTCGATGCAGTCAGAAAGTCTTCCTCTATTTTATGATCAGTCAGAATCTTTTGGATCAGGCGCCCGGCATGGCAAAACCCGTGCTGTATTTGGCAATTGCATTCGGCGCCGCGTATGTCAAGTCGCTGCCTCTGGTGTGGCATGAAAGTTTGTGAACATAGAAGGCCCCGGGCGAACATTCGATTCCCATCCAGTGGCGCTTTTACAAGGCACCTCCCCAAAGGACTGTAGAGGCTTGCGGCTTGATGCCGACGGTCTATTCACCTGAGTGTGAACACATGGCGCTGCGCTCCACAATGGCCACCGTTGTAGACACGGAAGAACAGTCTTTCTCTGTGCCGGAAGATCAAAGCCGCCAACTCAGGCTGGATGAATATACGAGGCAGGAGCAACTATCGGTGGTGCAGCTGCATGAAGGTTGGGACGCTATGCATATTTGTTTTCTGCCGAGGTAGTTGCCCTAGCTGTCCGCAAAGACTTTACTTGGTAAAAGAATCGAGAGATGCAAATGTCAACAAATGTTGTCTTATAATATTAGAAAGGCAAGCAAGGAGACAGTCAGGAAGAACTGTTCAAACCAGACCACACCAGGTGATGTGGTTGACATAATGACCCTTAACCTTTAAGGGGTGACCTGTGATCTCAGCCTGTTCTCGTACCTAAGCATAGGTGCCTTAGTTGGTAAGATAGCTGAGCCTCCCAGTCTCCACCCCTGAGTGAAGCACCAACCACGTACAGTGGGCCTAATGTAGTGGCCCGCCCGCCCAAACCCCATATTCGCTCCACATCACCATGAAAGGAACAACAAAAAGATAAAAACGCAAATGGACAAAAACATACAACATCAGGGATTCGCTGGTGGTCACCCACCCAACTACTAGTCCGACCCTTACTGGCTTATCTATGGGAGAGCGGACGGGATCCCGAGTTCTCCAGTAGGTATGGTCGTATGTGCTTAACAAGTGACAGTGAATGCATGATATCGGAAGCGGGCTGACGATGTGTCGTGACCTTTGGCAGTCCCACCCACTCCTTCTCACGACGTCACTGTCCTGTACAAATACATTTGTCAAGGCTCCATGCCCACGGCTCGCCTAGTCTATTTGATGACCGGTTCTAAATAGGTATCATACAAACCCCGCGCGTCCGCTCACCCCATCATCTTTTCACCGCCTAGGCATACCCCGTCCCCTGCCGCGAAGCGCCCTCTGCGCCGCTCCCTGCGGCAGCGCCTGTCCGGGGGCCTGGGGCTTCTGGCTCTCCTCGTTACGGATCGTCTCGTCGACGCCTAGGATCAGGCAACTCGCCTCGGTGGCGGCCTGGATGGCGTTAATCTTGACGAGTGCGGGCTCCCACACGAAGCGCTCCATCATGTCGGCGACGCCCTCGTTGTTAAAGTCAACACCGGCCCAGGTCTTGCCCTTGCGGTGCTCAACGCGAAGCTTGTTGAGAATATCGGTGGCGTCAAAGCCGGCGTTCTCGCAGAGCTGGCGCGGGATCACCTCGAGCGCCTTGGCGAAGCTCTTGATGATGGCCTGCTGCTTGTGGGAGACGTCGCGGTCGGCGAAGCGGTGGAGGTACGCGGAGACCTCCATCTCGGTGGCACCTCCGCCGCCGACAATGGTGTGGTTCTTGATGGCGCGCTTGACGATCATAATGGCGTCGTGCAGGGAACGTTCCACTTCAGCAATGAACTGCTCAGCACCACCGCGCAGCACGAGCGTGCACGTCTTGGCCTCGGGGCAGTCTTCGAAGAAGTTGAAGCGCTCGCCACCAATCTGTCTCTCGTCGAAGCTGCCGCAGGTACCCAGATGCTCGTGCAGAATGTCAGAGCAGGTAGACTGGGTGACGGCGCCGGTAGCCTGGACGACGCGCTCCATATCCTCGGCGGCAACACGACCAGCGCAGAAGATGTCGCGGTCGGCAAAGTACTGTGTCGCAAGATCGCCGATGGGGAGCTTGCTGAGAACGACCTTTGCGCCAGTGGCGTGGATGGCTTCAAGCTTCTTGTAGATGATCTGCCACTCAGCGTCGACAATGGCCTGGTACTCGGACACCTGTTCAACGCGCACCTCAGCGTTGTCCTTCTCGGCCTTGAGCTCGAGCTCGACGTTGAGGCACACAATCTTAGGCTTCTCGAACGCCTTGGGCTGCTGCTCGAAACCGGCATAGGAGAAGGTCTTCTTGAAGGCGACGCCGTTGACAAATAGGGAATCAGTCAGGGATCCACCGGGAATCTTCTTAATGCCAATGAGGCGCTCGTTGAGGTCGTCTTGGTCCAGAGACAGCACGGCATCGACAACCACTTCGTCTCGTCAGTTCTGTTCTGTCAACGGGACCACACACCAACTTACTCTTGGTGAAGAAAGTAGTGTTCCTCTTAATCAGCTTGCTGGTCATAGCGGTGCCGGCCAGCTTGCTGAGCGTTTCCCTTCGGTTGCCCTCGTTCGTATCAACCGCAATCTCCTTGATCTTGTTGACGGCCATGGACGCTGCCCTCCGCAGGCCCTTGATGATAATCTGTGAGCTGACACCCTGCTCTACGTGCTCCTTGGTCTCCTTCAGGATCTCGCCGGCCAGGACGACGACAGATGTGGTGCCGTCACCGACTTCGGCATCTTGCGATCGTGCAATGTCGACGAGAATTCGGGCTGCAGGGTGAACAATGTCGAGGAGCTATGAGCCCGTCAGTGCTTGTACCATGTGAAACATATACGGCGGATTGCACACCTTCATGACGGTGGCACCGTCATTGGTGATGGTTTGCCTGCCATTCTCGTCGACCATCAACAGGTCACCGCCGTAAGGACCGAGTGTCGACTTGATAGTGGCCTGAACGGCCAAGCAGGCGTTGATGTTGGAGACAATCTGTCCCTTGCCCTGAGAGGTATCGGTTCCTGCCCCGAAAGAAAAATCTTGGTCAGCCACGTCTTGTCTGGCATAGGCTTTTGGTTGCTTGCTTATTATGCTTGGGCAGTGGGGGTGGGGAGTAGGGGGGTGGAGGGGCGCTGTTTCTAGCAACCTTCTTTCAGGACCACGATGGTCGGGGTCATTCCGCCGAACGACATGATGAAAGCGAAACTGAAATATTCGTAGGATTCGGGGGTCTCGTTTCGTCCGTTTCGTCGTCGTCTTGGCCGTATTCGTCGTAGGGTGCGGGAGTCGAATTTCGGACCGTGGAGAGTGATGAAGCTTCTGGAGCTCCAAAAAATTGTTGCAGCCTTTCGCGACTCGACGCACAGACCATGTGGAGGATTATGTAAGGAGGGGTCTGTCACCGCCTGTTTTACCAGGGCGCTCCATGGCATTCCACGATCTAATCTTCAACCTGCCGCATCTTGATCTTGCAGAGAACAGCAAAGCCTATTGTCCCGTATACGCCTACATTGAGAAGCAGCCTGGTCGATTTCCCCGTCCAAGAAGCACTGTCAAGAAGCACAGATGTTGATCTGCAAGGTGCCCCTCGTCGAAAGCATGAGATGTCTGGAACGCAACCACAAGCGCCTTGTGTAGCAGCCTCGCCTGCGGTTGTGCTCCAATGATTGTTTGGCGTTGCAGTCAACTGCAGTGCAGCATGCAGGTCTGCAGAAACCCAACCAGCCACACTAAGGAGCCGTGGATCACCCTGCTGTACAGCGCTGCCCCGCGGCTGCCTGGCAGGTTCCTCATGGGTGCAGTCAAGACTCGTGATCTCTACGTCGTCTCAATAGCGTCTATCAAATGCCCGGACTTTCGTCGCACCTACAGCCATGTCGAGCACGCTGTATCTCGAGAGCCCCAAGGGGAGCCAATTCCGACTCCTCAAGCTCATGCCTGGCCAGTGGGATGATGACCTCGTCGCCACTCTCTACATGGCCTCCGAGCACCATCGCTTCACTGCACTGTCTTACACGTGGGGAACGAGCAGGCGATCACAAAACATCATGGTCAATAACGAAATTCAGTACATCACCTTTAATCTTGACCACGCCCTCCGCACATTACGATCACAGATTGGCAGCGTCGTCATCTGGGTCGACTCTCTCTGCATCGATCAGACCAATGTTGAAGAGAAGACGCATCAGGTCACTTTAATGCACGACCTGTTCTACTGGGCGGAAGATGTGCATGCCTATTTGGGCGACTCTTTGGATCGCAGCCACCCACGGTACAACCAGCATTTCAAGCAGCTGGGAGCACATTCGCATGTGCATCTCAACGGTGACGCAGGCGACGATGAGATGATTCAACAGGTCCTGTTCAAAGATTGGCCAGCTGCAACGAAATTAAGTTCCATGACAGGTCATCGACTCAACCTATATGCATTCTGCCTTCTCGCAGCTCTTTCGCAAGCATCTTGGCTGCAGCGCATCATCGACACTCAGATATTGCATAGCAAGTCTGAGACGTCCAACACGAGTAGACCTCTGGAAAACGCAAAATTGAAAGCCCTATTCGAACACTTGCGTGCTTTCGCAATATCGCCGTGGTGGGACCGCATGTGGATTGTGCAAGAAGCTGGGGTTGCGCGAGTACTTCGTTTGACATATGGAAAGATCACAATACCTTTCAAGGCCCTCGAACAGGCTAGGTCTCGTCTCGAGAAGATAGCGCTTCCTTCACACTCGCGCCAAGAGAACATGAAGGTCATGTCCTTGCTCGCCACAAAGATCAACACCCTCAGCAAGCTTCGAGACATCCGCTTAACCCGCATTGAAAATCTAGTCCACGGCACGATGCGCTCGCCACTCCAGGGACGGTACGACTATCTTGCTCTTTCCATGGGAAGTGCTCTACTTTGGCTTTTGAGAATGTTCCGCAACAGGCGATCATCGGAGCCAAGAGACAAAGTCATCGCGCTGCTGCAGCTGCGTCAAGACCTGGGAAGCTTTCTCAATGACAGCATCAGCCCAGACTACGCATGCACTATCCACCACTTATTTACTCATGTTGCCTTCACAATCATGAAAACGACTGGTATCTTTTGGGTTACCACAGGCGACCTTCTGTCAAAGTCCCGACACGATATTCCTTCGTGGGTTCCGGATTGGTCCAACGACACGACAGCCTATGACCCTCACCACTTGAGTTGGAAACTGCCGATACTTTTCCGCGCTGGTGAGGCAGCCTACCTGACCGACGAGAAAAACAAGACCACAACTCAAGAGCACTGTCGTCTTCTGTTGCAGAATACTCGATATGCCCCCGTCCTGAGCAAGCCCTGGCGCTTGGCTGTGGCCTGGGTCCGTAAATATGATTGGGTAGTTCGCATTGGCGACACAGTGGACATTGACGATGGCCAAGCATTGACAACCAGCTTCGTTTCGAAGTTGCAGCGCCAGCGGAGCGGCCTCCTTGACGGGTTTAAACCTCAAGTAGCTCTGCTCACGAAAGGCGAGTTCATTGACACAATCACGGGTTGTTTTGATGCTCTCATTCCCAAGCTGTGCAATAAATCAGCCGCGCTGATGGAAATGCTTAGGCATTTCGCCGATGGCTTCCTGGACACTCAAAGATCTGATCGAAGCTTTGACATCGAAAGACCGCTACTAGATGACTTGGGCCGGGTTCTCTGCTCTGGCGTTTTCAAAGACCCCACTGGTTTCGACGGTATGTACAGCTCCTGGTATCGAATCCTTCCCGAAAGCCGCCAAGAGTTCATCGTTTCGTGCGTTGCCCTGCA